TGTTTAATCGGTATTAATTTTCAATATGTGCAACGAGGGCTATAAATCTAAATGTTTGACAAACGGCCCAGCACCAAATCAGTCCCCTGACAGGGCACGTGACTGCACGGGGGACACGACGTGCTCATGAATTTTGGCAAATGGTTTTTTAAAAATCATTTGCTTCTATGCTCGCATTAGGGGTATTTCCTGGGTATCCTGATATATAAAAATAGTTATTTGCAATTAATTTGTAACTTATTGGCGAAAGCAACACCCAACTCGTACAACTTCTCTAGGGAAATCATGCATTTCAATTTTCATAATTTAGAGTGTTTCAAAAATATATGAACGTACAATAAAGCGAACAGTTCAAAAAATAAAATAATATTTTATTGGGGATTTGCTTATATATCTTTAACGAAAAATCAAACGCACAGAATACGAAAATATATAAAAGTTCAAAGTAAACATTTTCATTTTTTATAATTCAGAATGCTAGAAATATATGAACATAAAATAAAGCGAAAATTTCTTTAACGAAATTTGAGAGAAAATCAAACGCACTGAATACAAAAGTAAAGTAAACAACTTAAAATGTATATAAACGGTTAGAAATAACCAAATGAACAATTTGTTGAAATCCCTTTTTTCTTTTGCTTTCTTTTAAGTTGATATTTTTAACTTCTTAACATAATTCAACAAAAATTTGATGCTGTTGTTTTTGAAGTCTTTTTCCATTTCTTAAGAAAGTATGAATTTTGTTCTATAATTCAAATAATTATGAACTTATATCATTATTATATTATGTGGCATTATGGTTTTAAATGTGTACAAAAGTTTTGTATTCTGCAGGACTACAATAAAAAATGCGTCCTAAAAGTATGCTGTATCTTTTAAAATTATGGCTCACAAAAGTATGCTTTATATTTGAGTTTGCAAGTTTTCCCAAGAATGTGTTTTTCTCTATTTATGCTGGTTTTCTTTAAAAGAACATTGCTCTGTTTGATTTTTACTGATTTTCTAAGGAAATCTGTCTTTTAAATATTTAATCACATTAATTAAACCGTTTAAGGCTATGATAAGTAATCCGTGTTAAGTCCGATTATAGTTAATGAGGTAGTTTTATTAACCTGTCTACTTATGTCAACTTTGGCCTTTTTTTAATCTAACTATTTAATTAAATGTGTACAGGTGCCATAGATCATAGCCTAGTTAGTATTGCCTCTCATTATTTACACGTTTCTGACAGAATCGTGCCGCACCAGTAATGTGGAAAACGGAAACCGTAAGCCTTAAATGGCTGATGCAATGCATTCACAAAATTTCATCAGCAGTAAACATTTTAACTCCGATCTTAGCTCGTCCACTTTGATTACTAAGCTATGCATTTGTTAATACATATGTTTGTCTAAAGCTTACTCAAGTTTCACAACAAAGTACACAAAACTGTTCATCTTACTTTAAATGTTTGCAGAGCACAGAGGCGGCAAGCAAGGGGCGCAGTTTAGAGAATTAAATATCAACTTTGTTGGCAGTTTATTATAAATCATTTGTTTATTAGTAAGAATTGGCTTACTGATATTATTATAAATAAAGTTTTGGATTTTATTCAAATTGGTAGAAAGCAAAATAATGTAAGTTTAATACTTCAAAATCTGTGGTATTAAAATTATTAAGAAGATAAGAACAATTTATAATTGTTGTCAACTTTTTTATTAAAATATTTATATTTTATGTAGTTATTCGTTTTTCAGGTATTGGTACAGCAATAGAAGCAGGTTGATTATCCAATTCAAACTATGGTTTATAGAAGGAGTAACTACCTGTAGCGAAAGTAATTATTGTGGCTTTAATTTCACTATCTCTCCATTCAATTAGGGGTTTTTTTAAATTGTGTAATTGTTTAACTTTTTATGTTGTTTATTGATTATTTAATTTCGTACATCATTCGTTTGATAAATGATTTTCTTAGCTGAAACAAGTCCGACTGCTTTCGAATTTGCAGAAACGAAACCCAACTTAAAAATAAGTTAATAAATATACATAGTATAAATATAAATCCTGTGATACAAGGCAAGTTTTATTTCATAGCAAAATGTCGGTAATTCAAAAATTAAGTGTTCAGCCACTGTCCGAAATACATATCCGGATTCCCGAGAAACAGAAAAATTAAAAAAAAAACGTTATTTAGAACAAATAGGTTGCATGCATTTTTTAAAATGAAGTCATTGCGTTCTTTGTAAAACAAAAATGGCTATAAGTGGCTACACCCAACATGTAGGTATAAAACATCACTCTCTTGGTCTACCGAATCCTATTCTTTTTCATAAAGAACTTTATTAAATTATACAAGTACAAGAATTTTCAGCACATCTTCAAAGCAACTTTTTTCAATTTGTATTTTTTAATGAATGTCTTAGTAAGTAAGCTACATGTGCCATTACCCCGTTTATTTACAACTACACATTCAAATACATGTTAGTGAACCGAATTCTTAAAAGCTCAGAGTATTCGTGTAAAGGTAATTAAATACTTGTACACGCGCAGATCAGATGATCATTATTGGGATACACGGATCTTGGTAATGAAACAAACATTCCTGTTCTTTTTTTCCTCGTTTCTAGTGCTATTAATATCTCTCGAAAATCTTTCTCAAAAGAATGACAATCATTATAACATACACTGAGAAAAGAACGTGAGTTTTTGTTCGAACATTTTAAAACATTCCGAGTTCAATTATATCAATGAACACTTGTTAAGTTTGACGACCTTGTATGTATGTGTTAAATGTTTTATTGTAACCCCACTTGATTTCTTTATTTAAAGAAAATTATATCAATCGTAGTGTTTGTTCAAGAAATCTTCTTTTAAGTACAACTTTTTCTACATTTTGAGTAATCTCGAAATACCTAAGTGTAGACTCATTTTAATGGATTTGTTTTTTTTTTCATTAGTGAGTTCTTATTAAGCTTCTTTCAGGTATTAACGACAATACCTTTGTAAAAGAAAATTAAATTGCCTTTGACAATTGTTGTGTGGGAATAAGATGTTCTCAACATCTCTTATGAATCGATTTACATTCCAGTCTTATTAACCAAACACTTTTTCTATTCCTCCAGGGATCGCACCATGGATCTTTTTCTCCGAGTGTGTGTTTGTTTTCTGCAAACAATAAAACACAAAACAGCTCACATACTCGTACATACATATCTATCATTTTCTATTAATTAGAGTAATGACTTTTGGGTGACAGGTCCACTTGAATTAGTAGGTATAACCCCCTGAACGCCACCCATGGTTTTTGCACAGCCAATGTAAATACTCGAGACATATTATGCAGAACGAATTCTCCAGACACAAATGAGAAAAATCGAAGTCGATCGTCGTCTCGCTCGTGACTCTCCACCGCGGCGGGTGTCCGGCAACAGGTGGCAGCCAGTGGGGCTCGTTACGAGAAGCTTTTCCAGGCCAGATAAGAAAAGTAGTCGAGTGGCGTTGCCGTTTCCTACACGCGAATGATTTCTAATTTATGCCAACTTTTTCGTGTGGCTCCAACAATAAATTAAAGTAAATACAAATATATATACAATACCTAATGTATATAGGTATTACGTATAATATACTTTACTACTCGTACCTTACCCGAATGAAAGACAACCAGTTGAAATGTTTTGAAAGTTGCCATTTAACATTGAAGGCGAAAACGGCGAGCTGTGGTTCTAGGGGCTCTTGTTGCCAACTGTTGGCTAATTTATTGACTCGAAGCGGATATGACACGTGAACCGAACTCGAAATCAATAAGCGTTTAAACATTATGCCGTCATATGCATAAACACTATGGCGGCAGTAATGTGCATACAAAAAAAAATAATAATAATAGTATGTATTTATAACTAAAGTGCTCATAAAAATGTTTTATTATTCAGATTCATGCTGTTTGGCAACTACCCCTACAATTAGTCGAGCGATTGAGCGACTCAATTCGACTTGAATGTTCAGAATTGTTCAGATTCAGATATCTGTGAACAGCTGCCATAAAGACTCGCCCGTACCCAAGGTACGGTTAATGCTGGTTTACATAATCAACAGGCTGGACAGCTGGCTCGACTGCCATCGGGGCTCATTGTGCTACGGATAATGGCTATAGATGACGTCGATGCCGGCAATGTCTATTGTCACCGAAAGCTTAACGAATTTTGATTTAAATTCTGGTGCCCGGAAGCTATTATAGAGAAACTATAGCAGTGTGGTTTCGTATAAAAGAGAATGGTGTAAAGAATCTACTTGTAAGGTCATTGGCACTTGCTTGCACAGGAAACGATATAAATAGCTAAACAGTAACGGATCCAAGCAACAGTCAAGAATGATATTCCAAATTCCCCAAAGCAATTTAATTTGCTTGTCTTGTCCTTGTCTGATTTCGAAGCTGTCAAGACAAACGACATATAGAACGGATTCGTTTTCGATAGTTTCGCCACAGACTGTTTTAATTTGGACAGATTTGGAGGAGAAGAAAATTCGTATAAAAAACTAACTAGCTAGTTTAAAACAATAGTTTTTGCTTTAAAAATAAATTATGAATACTTTTTTTCTTGCATCTCGGAACACTTTTCAATCCTTTTTAGTTCATTTTTCACTGACTTGCACATTTTCTTGTATCTTTCTTCAGTATAAAGTATAAGAAAATAATGACCCCTAAGAACAGCCTTCTACAGATCGAATACACTTGATTTTGATTTTGAATTCTCTGCAGCCTCTAAAGCCTTCAATGCTCATGGTTTTCTGGAACTTCTGCCCATTCTATGGATTTGCATTTGACATCGAGAACTGATTCGTTTATGATAGCTTCACGAAAAAGGTCCTCTTCTAGAAATGCTAGAAATTATTTTTTTTTTACGCAGCAATATCCTTCTGTAGCACACTTAAATCTTTACACCTTCATAAGCCTCAAAGGTTAAATGTTTTTATATTTTCAACAGGCCAAAATATAACAATTGCGAGAGAAGAAGAGGCTTCGATTTCGCAAATATCACATCTATTTTATTCAGTTTGAGTCTTGTTCTTAAGTAATTTGTAGGTACATTTTGTTAGGCGACTTATTAACTACGAGTTAAAAATACTTTGCAACAATATGTAGAGAAAGAGCACACATGAAGAGTTAGGTAGTATGGCTATATCGCTAATGGCGTGCGCAAAGACCTAGGATGAGGGACAATGCCAACGCCCAGCTGAAGAAAGGCGCCCCAGAGGCGGCATTTGCCTCCATTTCTGGAAGACGCGCCATCACCACAAGCTGCTGCTCATCCAGACTGGGTCTATAGCTCCAATCTATGGTATTGGTTTTGCATATATGGGCAAAGACATGCGCCGATATTTTGGGTGTGCGTGTGCGTTGTGGCGAACTGAAGTCCACATGATAGAGACCGAACTTCTCTGTGAAGCCAGCCTTCCACTCATAACTGTCCATCAGGCTCCAGGCCACATAGCCACTGACATTGGCGCCATCCTCTATAGCATCCAGCACGGCTGATAGATAGAGATTATAGTAGTCTACGCGGGGATAGTCCTCGAGACCTCCGCGATCGCTGACACCATTTTCTGTTACGATTATCTCGGGTGCATCGTATTCCCGATGTATCCACATCAGCAGTTTGTACATGCCCTTGGGAAAGACCTGCAAATGAAGTAAGTGGACGGAGTGGAGTGCGTTAGTAAGTGGTGGGTTCATTGAACTTACAATTCCACCTGACGCTTTGCTGCTGCTCAACCCCCAAACAGAGCACAATTCAACCCCAATTTGGGTGGCAGCAGCAGCAGCAGCAGAAGCAGCAGCGTCTGTTCCAATTTCTATTAATCTGCCCTAAGTAGTTTATGCCACCCTCTTGAACAGAAGTCCAACACCTTGTCATTTTTCACTTTTCCCATTTGCGAAACTGCGGTTTCATAAATCCCCAATAATTGCTTATCTGGCTGAGCCAATTTCAATCTGCTAGCCTCCCCAGCCCCCGCAACACTTGACCCACGGCGTCTGCGCCAAGTATTAGCTCATCTCGTCTAATTACAGTCTGGCAGTCAGGCAGGCAAGCCGGCACATGTTTCATTGAAATCGTGACCGACTGTGTGTGCTAATAACTAAACTCAGCTCGTAAATCCATAGATAAAGATCCTAAGCTAAGCGATTACTGAATGAGCTATAAATAGACGCCACACGCCTTTTAGTTACCTTCAGCCACTCCGAGCCCGAAGAGGGCCAGTCCACCTCAGCCTGGCTCTCGATGACGCCCATATCGTGATTGAAGGACGGCACTGGGAACTTGCCCGTATTGTTGTGATCATTGGGTACCACCAGGTTCGAGGTATACGAGTTGATGCCGAAAAAGTCCGAAGTGCCGCGTATACGATGAATTTCTGCTGTCGTGAACTCGGGCAGACGGGAGCGTGTAAAGCCCTGCTCCTTACTCAGATTGCGAATGCGTTCGATCATCACCTGTTGGGAAAAAAAGGGTTTCGATTGCATAATTATATTGGGAAAGATATCAGATTTTACGTATTGTCGATGGTAAGTGTTATGGTCGTCCTTTTATATGATAATAATGAAATTTTGCATTGGAAGCTATGAAAATATTTCTCCACATTTGTATATCCTGCACCCGTAGGGTAAAAAGGGTATATTAGGTTTGTGCAAAGTATGTCCCATAAAGTATATATATTCGTCATCAGCATGAGATGCATCGATCTAGGCTGTCTGTCCGTCCGTCTGTCTGGACGAACGCCTGGATTTCGGAAACGGCTGAGCGTACATAAACCAAACTTGGTATGCAAACGTTCCTAGTCCCTAGTCTATACGAGTTTATTTTACTTTTTTGAATTTTCCCCCCCTTCCCCCGCTACAGTCAATATTATCCGCATTTGCAAATATACATAAACCAAACTTTGCACACGCAATCTATACATCATTAATCTACTTTTGATTAAAATTTCATCCAATTCGGTCAATTCTAAGAAAAGTTATTAGGGAAACTATTTCATTTCAGTACTACGCCCACAAACTGCTATTCTTCTTATTTTCTCTTCTGCTAGGAACTTATATAACTCAGTGCCGGAAGTTTGCATGGGTGCAGGGTATTTTGTATTGAAAACTATGCAAATATTTCTCCACATTTTTTACAAAGTTACACATGTTTTTAAAAAACTTTTTGAATGTGTTTTATGTGGGAGTATAAGTGTACCTCAAACAACCTCTTTTGTTTGTTAGCAAACAAACAAATCTGCCATACAATTTCTTCATTTCAAACCACATTTCATATCTATAGGACGCAGATAACTAATTGCTTTTAAAATAAATCAAAACTGTCAAATCAACTTATAGCTTATAAGTACTTGGAACAAACATTGACAGAAAGTCCCCTTCAGATTTATAAATATGTAGGTGTAAGATGAGTTAGTTTTTCGTAATTTCCTTACCTTAGGATAGTTGCCCTTCTTCGAGAATATGGGATGTCCAAACCAGCCCACATAGAATTGCATGGCACGTTCGGAGGCTTCATGATCCTCGTCGGAATCGCTGCGTGGCTCTGGCCAACTTGTGTCTAACGTAATGCCCATGCGACCGCCTTGACGCTGCTGATAATGCTCCTTGTACATGTGATAGACTTCAGCATGGGCCTTCAGCAGATTGTGACCGCACAGATAGGCCGGTATGCCGGGATAATTGTAGGAGGGCGCCATATAGTCAACCCCATAGCCGTGCTCGCACACATGCCAGGGCTCGTTAATGGTCGTCCAGAGTTTAACGCGATCTCCATACATTTCCAGCACCAGACGCGCATAGTCCTTGAACAGCGGTATGATTTCTGGATTGGTCCAGCCGCCCAGCTCCTGCAGCCGTTGCGGCAGCTCCCAATGATACATGGTCACCATTGGCGTGATATTAAAGCGCAGCAACTCATCGATCAGATTACTATAATACTTGATGCCCGCTGTGCTGACGTGGTTCATATAGCCTCCGGGCATAATGCGCGCCCAGGACAATGAGAAACGGTACGAGGTGACGTGCAGCTCCCTGACCATCTGAACATCTCGTCGCCACTGCAACAAGAGAAGTAAGGAGGAGAAGAACGCTTTAGTACCTCTTTTTGGGGGCGGGGGGCGGGGGGTTAAAGGCGTTGGCGATTGTCGCAAAATTGTGCTTTTTGGCATTTTGAATTTTGAAAGAATGCCAAGTATTCGAGTTTTAGATTAGTGACAAATGATATAAGTATAAACCAGTTCGTCAGCTGGCGTTGGCGACACATTGCCATTGTCCGGGCAATGCCAATGGGGCTAGTTAGACAAGCGCAGTCGCATTGAGAATTGATTCGCTCGTTAACCCACGACTTGCTTGCGGCGTGGGGACTGCAGAGTGGTGAGTGGGGGCGGAGTGGGGCGTGGGGCGTGGTGTGCAGTAAACACCTCCAACTTCCAGCTGGTTACGCCCAATGCTTTGGTTAAATTGTCAAACAAAATGCATAAACATTTACATACATGCTAATCGCTGGTCAAGCACAACACAACAGAAAACAATACACACCTGTTGATATGACAGCCTACAAGTATGTCGTAACTCTCAGCGCCCCAATCAAAAGCCGCTCGACTTATTCTTGCTAACTTTATGCTGTTCAATTAATCAAAATAATTAAATAGCGAAAACTCAACTTTAATCAAATGTTGCACACGAACATTAACAATGCCAACTGATGAGATAATTAGCTCTAGTGCCGGGTGAGATCAAAAGAACGCAAATAAAGTTCTAAAAAAACCAGTATACCCTCTCACCCATTGGGCACATTGTGAGCTAAACTTTAAATAAACTAAACTAAACTTTTGTCATGAGTATATGTTTGGATACAATTTTTAATTAGATTTTGTTCACATAAGGGCATTTTATAATATACTATATGTTGATGTGGAATGGAAAGAAATAAATGCACATTAATGCTTAAAATATGTCTTATCACCATGGACGGCAGACTAAAACTTTGTGAGCATTAAAAATCAATCTGACTGCTGGATTCAAAGTAATTCCATATAATTAAACAGACTATACAGTACATAAGGTTATTAATGTAAGAAATTAGGCGGGTAGCAGACTTTCTTTCGCCACTAAATTTCATACCTCGTCAAGATTGTTTTTTTTCTCACATTACATTATATACATCTATATAATTATATACATCCACACAATTTCCAACCGAATACCGACTAGGGTCTAATAGGTTCTAAAACCACGTAATACCAATTAAAAACCATTTATTGTCGCTAAACTTACTTAAAAACAGAGCTTTTTTACTTTTACTCAATAACTAGGTGTCGAGCATTCCACTTTGTGAAAATATATACAAAACAAAGCTGAGAATCTGAAGAATTCCAGAGAGCAGTTTGAGATGAACTTTATTTTTTTGTCTCTTTCAACATTCTTATCGGAGATACTAAATATAGGAACTAGAAGCGCAAAATGTTGGTGGAAGCATTCCTGAATGCACCGATAAAAAATATATACGCAGGACATATTTTTTCACCTTTGAGAGAGGGCCGTCAATTGTTTTTCTTTCTAAATGTTCAAAAATGTTGAAAGATGTTTTTTAAAGGAAATGATTAAATTCCATTCTAATGAAGGCTGTAATAGTCCTTGCAAACTGCTGAAGAAAGTAGGGTATTGCTTGTGCTATAATTAATTAGAAAAATCTATTTATTAGTCTGAAATGCAATGTACCTTCGTTCTTCAGATATATAGCATTTAATAATGAAAATAAGTTCTTAAAAGTTTTCTCTGTGTAACTAAAAATTAGCATCAACCTTGTTACTAAGATTGACAAAATGAAAAGGAAAGTCGTCTTGGTTACATTTGCCATTATCCTAACTATTCCTATTTTTTTTACTTTACAAACGTGCATATCTACATATTAATATAACAGATGAAGGTATTAGAAATCTAAATCAGTTGTTAGCCTTGGCATCTACATGGCATCAAACTGATAACGTCTGCATTATTTTAATAAAATATAAGCCGACTCACTAACTTGTTATTTCTTGCACGCGAAGCTGATTTAAATTTTCCCCACCATGTTGGAAGTTTTCACAATTTATTTTTCTGTTACAACAAACAACAACAATGTTTTTTGCATCTTTCTTTGCAAATGGTTTGCATATTTATTTGTTCTCTTGATTATGTCTGCAGCTTTAATCATTTTTCTACACATTTTGTATTCGGTAATTGCTAATGCTAAACGTCTCATTCAATCGATTTAATATGAATCATAAGAAAGATGCAATATAGTCATTACAATAAGAATACAAAGTAAGCGGCTAATTAAGAATTAATCCCGTACATGCCTGTATAATTGCTCATAAATAGTTCAGATTTCGAATAATAAACTTTAATCAACTTACGTTATTAAATGCATGCTTTAGCATGCAGCTAGAATCTATTTAGCCGTAATGAAAACCCTAATTGTCTTCTTCATCGATTGTGGCGAACTTTTAATCTGCAGGTCAATGGATTGGCACATTTACCTTCCAAATTGCTCTGCTCAGTCAATTAACAATTACATGAGCTCGGGTGCAATTAGGAATCGTTAGTCTTAGATGCTTGGAGATATTACCAAGCGATATGTAACTGAATACATCTAGCTAGACATGCCAGGCGATGTTGCCGCAGACAGTTGGCAACAAGTGGGTAAAATATTTGCAAAACGATGAACACAAACACATAAATCATGGCCAGAGCCACCTGTGGAGACCTGCTGTTGGCCCATACGGTCCGCTTTCAACGCATCGCTTAGAACTATGGTGCGACTTGATAAACAAACTGGTAGTGTTTGATTAATTGAAATCTTTTCTAATCAGAGACAAACGCAGATGGAAATGAGGGCGTGATTAGTTCAGTAAATGCAATGCAATTACTTGGAATTAATTCCACCACATACATACAAGTATGTATATACTTGTAAATATATCTTTAATATGTTGAAATGCCAGATTGGTTTTGCAAAACGATGTTAATCAAGTCAGCTTAGAATTAAAATATCTTTAAGCCGCTTCCACTCACATGTACTTACTACTCGTAAGAACTTGTGTTCATTGACCAGAAAATTAAGTTTCTCCGACTGGCTAATAATTTTTCGCCAACTGGCTGAATTGTATAAAAATCGCAGTTATTGCTACTATAAATACGCTGATTGTAATTTGGAAATAACTTAAAATTGTAATTACTACTGCAAAAAGATATCTAATGAAGCCATCATTTAATTTAAGGCCCATTATTTAAATACTGGCGTGATATCAGCGTAAAATGTTGACGAAATCAAGCTATTAGGTAAAAAGCAAAGTTACAAGTTAGACGGGCTTTTACTCCTACCCGCTTAATTTATTGCTATTGTATTATAAAACATAAAATTATAAGACAATCAATTGATCATCACATTAGACATCACTTTTTTAATGAAATTTCTGACGTTTTTGCTTCAAATTTCTAAATGTTGACCTACGCAAAAAAATAGTTAAAAACTTAGATACAATTTATTATTAATTATTCATACTATAAACAGATTTTTGTACATGTAGAAGGACTAAAAAAATGTCCAGAAATATATCTTCGAACGCTATTTGTTTACTTCTATGACAAATATTTTAAAGATAGAGGCTATATGTACTTAACAAAATATAAGCTTGCATTACTGTTGAGAGAAATCTAAATACCAACTACAAGTATGGCAGCTGAATGAATGTCTTTGGAAATCAGAGTCGAGTCTACAAGCAAATGATATAAACTTCTTTACATATAGATCAAAAGATCTATCTGTCCACACAGACGAACTAATAAAGATACCAGACTTTGGAGACTAAGAGTGTAAAATAATCTGCCTGTCAAGATACAAGTAATATTCTTATGGCAAATGTTTGAAATAATGAAACTATACTTTTATAAGAAATTGGAAAATCTAAGTGCCTAAAAACTGTAGCTTTAGGTTGTGGATTCTAAGACTTTGCTGTTCATCGAAAAAACAATAATTAAGTTTCTTTGTGTATTTTTTTTTTTTTTGCTTAAACTTAAATTATATTTGAGTGGTATTGATTTGAATCAGGTTGATAAAGATTTGATTCATCCAATGGAGTCTGTAAGTTCTGATTGTTAGTCACTGAACGACGGACCATGGATGGACCTCAAAAGTGTATGAAAAATTAAATATTAAAAAATTGTCTAACATTGAAAATTTTCAGGATTCCCCTTCTATCTCACTTCTTTCAATAAATATCTGTGCAGAGTATATTTATTTCCTTCCCACAAAAGTTTACAACGGTATTTTTAATATAATAAGCAAAAACAAAAATTAAAATAAAACACGCTAATACACTTTAAAGTCAAGTCACAATAAACGCTGAACTGACCTAAATTTTGGATTATACAATTCTACACACACATTTCGCAGGTTATGACAACTTTGCGTAACTTCTCAACGTGGCCATTAATTCACATCAATGTGTGCGTGTGTGTGTGTGTGTGTGTGTTTATGGTAATTATTATAATTTTATTGCACATCAGGTTGAAGCTGAAGCTGAACGCTTACGAAAGTTTACTGAACGCAATCAATTCTCTGTACCGCGCTTCGCTGCTCTTTCTCTCTCCAATCTCTCTTCGCACTCACCTGATGATAGCTGTCCGATGAGATATCGGCATTTGATTTATCCACAATCTTCTCGGGATGTGTATGCGTCAGAAAGTCCCAGATGGACTCGCCCTTGTCATCGGCATTCCAACCGCCTTCGATTTGATAGGACGAGGAGCCGACGCCCCAAAAGAAGTCGTTGGGAAAGCGACGATTATGGCTCACTGGACTGCTGGTGGTACTACAAAAAAAATTAAAAATAATAATAATAATAGAGGATATAAAAAATCGAAAACTCATTTTGTAGGCGAGATTGAGCAATTATTGAATAATCATTTGACAGATTGATGAATGGACTATATTGTTAATTCTGATTGAACCGCAGTTCATATTATGAGACAGCATTTTAATTTAAATAATGCAACACATTTACAATTAAACTCTATTCACACATATTGTTTAATCAACATTGATTTGTCAAGGTCAAGGTAAATTGCAATCCCTTTGCAACGGCCCTTACAGGTGTCCAAGTTCAGGTGCTCGCATTGGCTAAAGTCAAGAAACAAATAAATTCCAAAACACACAAGAAAATTGTGAAAAGAATTGCGAACCGCCTTGGCACAATCCCGAGGCATTTTGGCATCTCAAGGCATTCCATTGTACTTGTAGTTGCATTGACTTTTTTGATTGTTTGTTTGTTAAATTGATTGTCACTTTGGCTTTTGTGGTTCGGTTCCAATTTAAATTTGAGTTTCAGCTCAAGCCACTACTTGTACTTGCAGTTTTATGGCCATTACGCGACTGCCAATCGGCATTTGACGCATGCCTAAATAATTGCTAATGCACCGCAACCCGACAATAAATTGCAGCAGAAATTATAAATAAAATGCAATTTGTAATTAAATTTGGCATTCCACTCGTCTCACTTACGCAGCACGAACTTCACTTCCACTCGGCAAAATACTTGTAAACGCCAGCAGCGCAATTGTTATAAGATTATGCCACATTTTTCAAATTTGATTTCTTTATACACTTTCTGATTTATTTATTTATTCTCTTGAACGAAAACTCTACTGTTCGCAAGTTGACTTTTTCGTTAGAACTTTTCGCGCGCTTCGCCGTGCGATTTGAACGCGTCGCCAAACATTTGCAAATGAATGCGAGCGCTTTTATATCCTAGCGTTTTAAAGCAAACTCGCTTGCGACGCTGCCTTCAGCTTGAACAGCCTCTGTTAGCGGCCTCAGTGAGAACGCCAGCTAGCGAGCGTTCTGAGCGGCCGCTGATGAATTTCAGCTACTGTTTTCTCAATACCCTACCCAAGAGGGAGTTGTGCCTTATGCATGACAGTTGGTAATGTAAAACAGGAAGAGCAATGGAGAAGGGCGTATGCAGGAGGGGGGCCCATTGCCCCCCTACAACAAAGTCGACCACACGTTCATTATTACGACGCACTATTTCGCTTTAAAATGGAACTGAGTTGGATTTGTTAAAGTTTTTTCATTGATCATATGCATAAATTATTTTTTAAATACATCGTACATTATTTAATCAAAATTTTAATTTGTTGATCCCCCCTTTGGTAAAAGCTGCGTACGCCCTTGGCAATGGAGTATTACTTTTATGCGCACACTTCTTGAAAAACATATTTTGGGCACCCTAAATAGTATAGCCCACAGAAACTAATCAATCACTGAGATTATATTATATTTTTTATAGTTTAGTCCGTTATTTTTCAGATTTCTGTAGCCCTTTCCCTTTGTAATTTAGTGTGCCCTTAAAGTGGTCTTGAATCTTAAAATATTATTCGTATTAAAGTCTATCTACAGCAACTTTATTTGTAATACATCCAGACGAGGATAGGGTCCTTAAATTACTAGTCAATTTATAGATGGACTTAGTAATCGACTTGATTCAACAAACAAATTAAATATTTTAAACAAATCTTATTATGCATATTTCTCTCTAAATAAAATTCTGACATATTTGAAATTTGATTTGAATTGAGCTTTTTGTTTTTAATGAAAAGTAAATTTTGGTGTTATGCTAAAATGGAACGGTATATAAATATATAAATAGTGTATAATTTACATTATAATTCTTAATTTTATTAAACCATAGACAAAATAATACTAGCTAGTTAGCTTTCGTTCACAAATTTGTTGCAAAGAATAATGTAACTTTTATCTAATAGTAAATTGTATTTTTAAATTGTTTAGAATGTGATTGGAAGGATCTGATGAAAGGAATTTGTTTATTTATAAATACAAAACATAATTATGAAGTCATATATCATGTTGTGATTTTCAAAATCTACTGCATTATATCCATCTAAAAGTTCAGTCAAATGGTAAACTATATAGTTGCTATTGTTTCCCAACTCTCTAACTTCTTGAAGAGTATTAAAACTTCGTCTTGGTTAATCTTAAGGTTGTTTTTCTCATATTCTTGTTGTGTTCGTTTTGCCGGCAACGTTTGACGTTTTGGGTGCCGCTGCCAGCTCACCCACTGACTTGTTTTAACTGATTTTGTTTCTCTTAACATTTCAATATCGGATCGTTCTTTCTGCTCCACCACGACCTCAGCTCGCAATCAGATGAAAGTCGTTTTGGAGCTGACGTATTGAAAATCCCCGTTAAAACATAAACACTTACGCATGGAAAATTTTAATTAATGCAATATGATTGGAAATGTACATTTCTGTAACCACAGAATATTATTATTTGTATTTATTTGTTAATGTCAAAAGGGAAATCTCAAAGTTTTGAGTAAACGTAGCTTAAGCTTATTGCTGTTTAGTGCTGAATATTTAAATGAGTGTAATATTATTAGAAACTTAAATTTGTTTTTTTTTTTTTAGTTTAGAATTGGTAGAGTTTATTGCTACATATATACACGTAGTGCTGAATCATTTGAAAAAGCATGTAACTATTTCAATGAATTCAATTCAATTTTAAATTGTAAATTTCCCTTACAAATCACAAAATATTTATCATATGTATATATTTATAGATGTATATTTATGCACCGAAAGTGAAGTTATAAGGCTAGTAGAGGCACTGTTTATTGCTATATACTTAGTACCAAATCCAATGGTTAATACTAGTGTATACTTATATTTAACATGAATATTATGTAAAAGAGAAGCCGTCTTCGCTCAATTATGACCCTGCGTGTTATCATTTGTTGGTTGATGGGTTGTTGCTATATTTGGAGTGTGCATTTGTTTCCTATTGAGCAAGCTCCGAGATACTTGAGACTACGTCTGCACTTAACTAATTGTTTTTAAATTGCTCTGTTTGTTGTCTCACTGTTCCTTGATAACGTACCAATTCCAGGCTTGATAATAGGAATAGTATATCGACATTTTCATATGAACAATATTTTTCAGATAGTGCCAAAGTCTTGAAATGTTTTTTATTCTTCGTAAAATGCATTGCTCATTCATTATTTTTACCAATTCCACGGTACATTTTATTAAGAATTTCTTCACATTACTAGAAATAATGGATTATTCAAATTTTGAAAAGAGAAACGAGAAAATCCACTTAAACGTAACGCATTACACTGATCATAGATAGCTCCAACATTTCTAAGATTAAGCCCTTGACAGAGAGAGATGAGGGCTTTTCAAATTTCGCCTTACACTTCGAAAACTATCTCTGCGACTTTTCAAATACATAGCATTTTCCCTTTTCATAAAAAAGTGATCCTCATGTTCTTGATAACCTTTGCTTTCTTCCGACAACAACACAAAGTTTGTCCTTGTATTACTTTTAAGTTAAAAAAAAAGAACTTTTGAGGGAAATATTCCAGCAATTGCGGGTTAAAATGCGGTCTATATCCAATTAATAAATATTTTAATAAGTCAGTCAGTCGTTTCAATAAATGACACCGATAGATACATTTTGAAAAATCTCTGTGTAAACCTGTGAGTACTCAAGTCGCGTCGATTACATTTTGAGATAATTGCAAATCTCGTTTATTATAATAATAGTTTTGCTCGCAAATCTTATCTGAAACAAGACAGATATTATCAAGCAGTTAAGCACAACAGACACACAAATATAATCATGAAAACGCATGCATGAGTGTTTATTAAAATATGTGAAAAAGAACGAGTTTTTGCGGCAACTCTCTCCAGCAGCTGTTCATATGTTTTTATTGGCACAAAATACAAATGAACAAGTAAATTAGTTTACATAAACTTTTATTTATAAACCTTCAAGCGGGGCGCTCTACATTTTATCCACATTGGCTGAACGAAATGAAATTAAAACGCAAATTATCAACTCTCACAAAAAGTTGTAAACTGATTCTTATCTAAATGTTTGCCATTTGCACAGTGCCACCAAGGTTTCTTTTCGTTTTACTATACTACTTATTCTAATAAGATTAAGATGCTTGAAATACATAAATAAATGTGCCAAACTTGAATCAAGATAAAAAGAGTGTCTCTGCCAAAAAAAAATATATGGCAGAAAAAGTGAACAAAGAAAAATTTTAATCAGTATGGCTTGTGGTGTGTCCAGAGAGATGAGAGTAGAACTTGATTTTGAGACAATTAGCACAGGTGTGCGGTTGAATTGTATACAACCAAGTTAATTTATTTTAAAGCGATAAAGCCAATTTACAAGATATAGGCGGAAATGCGTTTAACATGAAGTTAAATGAGCAACATTCGAAAGCAGCAGACATCTTCTTGTGACGCTGGGTAAATTAATAAATTTCAAGTTTTAACAAAAGATACTCAGGTAAAACTAAAGTTTTTTAAAAATTGAAAAAAAAAAAAATCGCAGAAACGCGCAGCAAAAAAGACGATGAATATACATTGTATACATTGAATGGAATGTAATAAATGAATATATTTATGGTTTTATGACAGTCACTTAACTCGACTAGACTGGACATCTAAAGAAATCCAGAATGCTACATTTGGTAAGCATAATTAATGTAAGCTTTTGAAGTCTTATAAACCAAATAATAAATGTTTATTAGGCTTCTATGAATAAATAAAAAAGAAGATATCATCAAACATCATTATTATCTATTTTAATGTAATAAAATGTCTGTTGAAAGCTAAGTTTTAAATTGTTTAAGGTGTAACCAAAATATTGCTGCAGTAATAACACTCATTACAAGGGTATAATAAAATAAATGACAGCACACTTATCTACAACGACCTACAAATATACAAATTATATCTATGTATTTGCTGGTAATATATGCGAGATTCGCCCGGCTGGATTACTTGTTGTTTTATCTTTAGATTTTCGTATTATTTTTGATGCGACGCGAAACGCATTTAACCGGTTCTCGCATGAACATCACAATAAATTAAGCCGGCCGCTATGGTTTCGGTGCCAAGCCATGTCGCATCGCTCACGTGCAAAAGATGCTGAACTGGACGGGTTTGGACTTGGATTGAAATCGTGAATCATCCGAAAAAATCCCATGGAGTCTTCTTACGCATTAACGTAGCTCCAGGTCGTATTAAACTCGCACTAGACGCGTGAACGCTGGGTAAATTAAAATCCCCCAACCTTGCATATGAACTAATCTCAAGAGTATTTCCGTTATTTAAAGCAATGAGACAGAATTAATTGATGTTGTGGTTTTAAGAACTCGAATTTGGAGGTGTGGTTCAAGTAACAATATATTTGTTACAGTAATTTATGCGAAAATGAGTGATGCCAAGTGTAATTTGCGTGGAAACTCACCCTTGTTGTGCTATTTGAAATTGAATGTGCAAATATTAAGCAAATTTTTATGAAACTGAAATTCGCGGGCTTTTACTAACAAATAGATGAACGCAGCCCTGAAAGTAAATTGCGCGCTCAGTGTGTTATTTTAATAGGTGGCAGCACTAGGCAGCACTCATGCGCGTTTCGTTTTTGCCGTATGGTCACTCTAGATAATAAAACGTAAACAAACGGAGCACGTGTACAATTGTTGCGGAGCTCGTCGTTTGAACAAATAATAAAATGGAGCTTTTTACAGTCAATCGGTAAGAAATAGTTTTAAAACCTCAACCAATCTATACTAATTACCTGATTTGGTAACAGTTACACCGAAGAAGATTTCAAAACCAAGCCAGCTGAGGCCGAAGACCAAATTTTAGAAAAGTTGCTGCAAAAAGCTGAAAAACGCAAAAGAAAGCAAAAAAAGGATAAGGTAGAAGAGCCATCGCAAGAAAGTGCCGAACACCAGACCATCAATGAAGATGTGCCGCAAACATTGGAAACGCGCAAAAGAAGGCAAAAAGATGATAATGCCGACAGTGCTTTTCAAGAACCAGAATCCGATCAGCCACTGGAACAGCAAGAAGCAGCAGATTCTGATAAACCAGCCGATGCAAGTTTTGAAGTAATTGGAGAAGATGTCGGCGCTACGAAACGACAAAAAGTTGAAATGGTGTTGCCCTCCTGGTTGGCACATCCGACTATTATTCCTGGTGATAGTTTGAAACGCGACGAGGATGCGACTGCCGATACCGACGAAGCTGCCCTTAAGAATCAGCCCTATCTGGATAAGCCAACACGTGATGCTCTTAAGCAAATGAAGATTAAGCGTCTGTTTCCCGTGCAACGCAGCGTAATACCTTGGATTCTGGATGCACATTCCAAGCCGGCGCCCTTCAGACCGCGCGATATTTGCGTTTCAGCGCCCACTGGCAGCGGTAAAACGTTGGCCTTCGCTATACCCATCGTACAGTTACTGATGAACCGGGTGAAGTGCAAGGTACGTGCCTTGGTAGTACTTCCTGTTGCCGAGCTTGCTATGCAGGTATACAAGGTGATCGCGTCACTTTGCAACAAAACCGAGCTAGAAGTATGCTTGCTCTCCAAGCAACATCGCCTCGAGGCGGAGCAAGAGGCGTTGGTAGAACTGTATAAGGGCGAATACTATTCAAAAGTGGACATTGTTGTGACTACACCAGGTTTGTGGAAAACACCTTATTTCTATTTCTCTTCTTATCTTAAATATCCCTCCAATTCAGGTCGTCTGGTGGATCATCTGCACGCCACAAAAGGTTTCTGCTTGAAAGAGCTTAAGTTTTTAGTCATAGATGAGGCTGATCGCATTATGGACGCCGTCTTTCAAAACTGGCTGTATCATTTAGATTCCCATGTGCGTGACACCGCCGACCAGTTACTGGCTGGACGCACAGCCCCCCTATGCCTCGCCGAGCTCAGGGAAAGCTATGGCAAGAAACCTCATAAGATGCTATTTTCAGCCACCTTGTCGCAGGATCCGGAAAAACTACAAAACTTGCGTCTCTTTCAACCGAAACTGTTCACCACGGTGCTTATACCTGCACCCACCACATTGGAGCCAAACGCATCTGCTTTGGTATCGACGCAGACCGAGGAACGCGGTCAATTCATTGGGAAGTACACCACGCCTGCTGAGCTGACGGAACAATACTGCATCACCGAACCACGTCTAAAGCCTTTGACGCTCTTCGCACTCATTAAGCAGAACAATTGGCAGCGCTTCCTCTGTTTCACAAACAGCAACGACACTTCAACACGTCTGGCATTTGTTCTGTCCCAGCTCAAGGAAAAAGGAGAGGACACTATTGCTGAACTTTCCGCTAACTTATCCGCCGCCAAGCGACGTGCTACCCTCGATGCTTTAATGCGTGGCAAGCTGCAGGGCATTATTTGCTCAGATGCCTTGGCGCGTGGCATTGATGTCTCCAATATCGACATAGTGGTCTCTTACGATGTGCCTCGCCATATTAAGACCTACATCCATCGAGTGGGTCGAACGGCGCGTGCCGGTCGTCCTGGTACTGCCATTACGCTGCTCACGCCCAAGGACCAACCGCAGTTTAGGAAAATGCTTAGCGAGGTGGGCAAGCCAGTTGGGGAAGAAATCACGGTGGATACCGAAGTAGAAACGGGATATGCACATTTATATCATACGGCTCTAGAGACGTTGCGCAAAACTCTGGAGGCAACCAAGAAAAGAGAGATTGTGAGCAAAACGCGCAACACACAGGCGGCAGCCAAACTACACAAGGATCCATCGCAGCTGACGCTGATGGAAAAACTTCAGCAGGTCACTGGCGTGCATACCAGCAAGCCGAAGCCGAAGGAGCCAAAAAGTCATCTAAAGATGCCCAAAAATAAACTCAAGCCGAATGCGAGTCAGCGTAAGATTGTTGAAGAATAACAACAGCAGCAATTGTAAATAACATAGTATACTCGTATATGTATGTATGTAGCTCTAAGTTTTTAACTGCTAGTAAAAAAATAAATTTGCATGCAGTTGAAGTCGCTTAAATATTCAATGTCGATATTCGTTCAATATTTTAAGCCAATGCAGTACGGATGTAATCAAGCGTTTTAAATATATATACATGGTCTAGATCAGAAGGGAGTAAGAAATGGAACAATATGTTGTTGGGCGACAAAAATGAATCTCTTTGGTAATGAATCCAGATGACTGTCAGTCGCCCCAAAGGCAACGAATTCCACGTCCAGCTTACAAACAAAACTATTAATGTATATGCTGAGGTAAAATGGATCTTCCAAGACTCCAGTTACTGACTCAAAGCCCTCCTTGATGCTAGTCCAAGATTGACTAAAATTTTATAACGTAGTGAAAAATAACATGAGAAAAAGATACAAATATTGTAGCCTATCTTTAATTTTAAAACTTTACAAGTTTTCTGATTGTGGTTCTTCCTTGGGAAAACTCTTTAATAGTAGAGATACTGCGATTTAAAATTGCATCCAACTTCAGACCAAAGCATATAGACATACTTGTATACGAATATAGAAGATCTGCAGTTTCGGTGGTATACTTTTTCCAAAATGTGCCTCTGATCTTTTTTTAGCTTTAATTGCTTGGGACTCCCATTCCTTTCTCCAACTCTAGAATGTTAACAAGTGTTAAGCTTGAGAACAACTGTTGCCGTGTGTGTGTGTGGCGCGTGCTTCCCCCAGATGATGTTATAGCAACAATTAAAAAAGTAAATAGCATCATCAGCAGCTTCTTATCAGCATTTACGTATATTTTGCTAATGAGACAACAGCAGCTATTTAAGAGGGGCCTACCCGATGCTGCCTCACAATCGCAAAGCAAATCCCGTGTACTGAGAATGGCGTTGGCAAGATTTCTAACGACTCTGATGCTAAGCAGCTTAGGTAATCAATCAAAGTGAAGCTAACCAACCGTTCGAATAGCTCTTAATGTCTGTATTTTCTTCAGCACTGACTACAATTAGCCATGCGCTGACCATCCAACCACGGAGTAGCTGGGGAGCTGCCTCGGCGCGAACTCCCTCCCGTATTCGAGGTGCCGTGGACTATGTTATCATACATCATTCGGACAATCCGGGCGGCTGCTCATCCTCTCAGCAGTGCCAGCGAATGATCAAATCCATACAGACAGATCACCAGGGAAGGCGTAGGTTCAGCGATATCGGTTACAACTTCATTGTGGCCGGCGATGGCAATGTGTATGAGGGTCGTGGTTTCGGACTACAGGGCTCCCATGCTCCCAACTATAATCGCAACAGCATTGGCATCGTCTTTCTGGGCAGTTTCGAAAGTCAAGCACCCTCGTCCCAAATGCTGCAGAATGCCAAGGATCTCATTGCCAAGGCCAAAGCTGATGGCTATCTGAAGGACAACTATACGTTGCTGGGCCATCGCCAAACCAAAGCCACTGCCTGTCCCGGCACTGCGCTCTACAATGAGATTAAAACCTGGCCCAAGTGGCGTAATTTGTAGGTCAAAGGCTACAGATAGGCAGCTGTATTATGAGATTAAATTTATTAGTTTTAGTTTCTATTTTAAATCAATGACTGATGAAGAAGAATTACGAAAGAATATCGCAGTTATGTGTAAATTATAATATTGTAAATATTTATTTTTTTAAACCAATGTATGTGTATTCAAATATTTCGTTGATTAAAAGTGGAAAAATAATGTAAAAGTTTCGGAAACTGCTGATCAAATTCCCTAAGCACTTTATATCCTTAAATTAAAGGACAGAGTCCGTTATCGTAGATTTATTGATTTGATTTAGCAATGCAGTTTCATACACAATATTATAATATTGTAATATTATAATATTGATTTGATGATGAATAATTCGTATACAATTCTATTTACGTTTTGCAGGTAAACCTTTTAATACACTGAAGAGGTTGGGTAATAAATTAATCATTGATTAAAAAATTACATCCACCATTGCTTAGAAAAAAAAACACTTTTTAAGTACGTTAAATATTTACTTATCCACCTGGATTACAAAATTTATGAAATTGCATACAAATTTAATTTAAATTTAACAATTTATGTTAATGACTATTCACAGCATGTGCCTATGGGTGTCTCTGCCAACGCGGCCATTTGCTGATCTCATCGAGCAACCGGCGTCCTGGACAAACAGTGCTCTTGGTCTGGCAATGCCCAAGAAGGACGAAGTTGGGTTGCACGGCCCGGCGCTGCTGAGCAATGCTGATGAGGGTGCGTGCTGCCTGCAACATCTGTCCTGGCGGCAAGGTAACTGAGCAAAAGCATAAACGGTGAGTTATTGCTGTGTCTTAGGTGTTATCTCTGATAACTTACCATGGTAATTGCCGATGAAGGCCACGCCTATGCTCATACTGTTGTATTTGGGGGCATGTTCGCCGCGTATGCCGAAGCCAAGACCCTCATAGATGCGTCCATCGCCTCCAATGAGAAAATTGTAGCCAATGTCGCGGAAACGGCGACTCCTGTGGTTGGCCTGAATGCTTCTCAGTATGGCCAGGCATTGTCCTGGATTATAGCAGGGAGGTGTCACCGTGTGGTGAAAGATAATGTAACGCGCTGGCGCATAAAGGCGTGGCAGTCGATGGGTCGGCAACCTTGTCCAAGTGGCGCGCGAAACGATCTGCCCGTATCCCCCACTGCACAGGCAGAGGAACACCACACAGAGTCCAAGGCAGAGCTGCAACTGCATTTTCTTTAAGCTTTGTAAGTTTAACACTGAGCCTTGGTAGCGCCCATTTATACCCCCAGACTACATGATTTGGCAGATGGTGCAAGCGGCGCTTGTTTACGCAGCTGCGCCTTAAAATCCATTCATTCCACTAATTGAAATATTAACAACAAAAAAATGATAAAGGCTTACAATGAATGAATTTTATTGTATAACCACAAAATAAACATAGAGACAAAAACATAAATCATAAGAGATATTAACTTTTACATTATGTACCCGTATGTATTTCAATTGTTCAGGTACATGGAGTTATTTGGAGATTCTTTAAAATTATACATAGAGATGGAAGGTACTCTTTGCTCTTTAATATTTTCCTTCGTTAGTTTCAGAATAACCCGACTTGCTGTACAAATCGCGAATGTTGTCTAAAAACAAGTTTAATCTTTAGAAACTTTTCGTTGTTTTTAAGACGATTAATCAGCACATTTGTTGGAGTTGCTTTAACCATGAAGAGTAAAAAGAAGGAATTCCCAAGTTTAATCTTTAGAAACTCTTCATTGTTTTTAAGCTAAAAGTAAATTCCATTTAACCATCAGCACATCAAAGCTGTTATTAAGCACAGTATAGATATCAAGAAGCCAGTGGTATAACTCTTTAGACCAAGAATAAGATATTTAAGCCCTTTGTACAATAGAATAAGCTTTAAGTTAGAGACTTTTATATTCCTGAAAAATAATATTAATTTTTTAATAAGTTTACTGAAAAAGATTGAAAATCCAGACAGTTCGACAACCTATGAGAGATTTACTTAGATGCTCAGCAAGGGCGCAGGCAGCTTTTACCAAAGGGGGGCCAAAAAAATAAAATATTTATTAAAAAATGCACGATGCATTTAAAAAATAATTTATGCATATGATCAATGAAAAAACTTCAACAAATCCAACCCAGTTCCATTCTAAGGCGAAATAGTGCGTTATAATAATGAACGTGTGGTCGACTTTGTATGGACAAATTTTTTGTAGGGGGGGGGGGGGGGGGGCAACGGCCTCCTGCCCCCTTTCCTACGCCCAGTTTTTCATTTTCAACTACAAACTGCAGGTGTTGTAAGAGTTTCAAAAGCTACGGATCTAGGCGATCGAACTACCGCTGGCTCTTCTTTATCTGGCTGATCATTTAGATGGACAAAAAGGCGTAGACAAAGGGGGCCGTTGCGCCCCAAAAAATTTCGCCATATGAACTCGACCAAACGTTCATTATTATGGCGCACTATTTAGCCTTAAAATGTAACTAAGTTGGAATTGTTGATATTTTTATATTAATCACATATTATTATTTTAACGCATCGTGCATTATTAAATCAAAATTTAAATTCTTTGGCCCACCCCTATGGAAAAAGCTGCCTACGCCCTTGGATGAAGCTTTAACTTCAAAATCACTCACATTATTAAGACCGCCTGATCATAATCATAGGCGGGATCTAAGTTCATTTAAGTATTATCGGGGACTCTCAACTTGTCTGCCAAAATATAAAAGGAAACCTTTTATAGATATTACAGATCTGAATATTAGTAGCCTTAAAAGTAATAATAATAATACTCACAAGTCACTGAACCGTTTGCATAACATGGCTTTAATTTTGTAATGCTAATGGACGCTGCCCTTGGACTGCACTTTGTGCAGCGTTTGTGCTCCCAAATGGGCAGCTAAAGCCATATGAGGGGCCTTCCAAAACGGGCGGAATTTGAATTTATTCGTTCAGTAATAGCAACAAAGGGATCAGTTTCGTATAAAAGGCGGACACACTGCAGCGAACTGGGCAGACATTGGAATCGCGGTGGCGTTGCTACAACGAGACGTTAATTCTGAAACTTCTACAACATGAAGCCCGTAAGTAGGGAAAGCCTATTAATAATTTATGATTTCTAACATCCAATTGTTTTTTTTTTTCTCTGCAGCACCAACTGCTACTTTTCAGCTACTTAGTGCTCACCACCGCGCTCTGCCAGGCCAGCGTTATTCCTGCCACTCCAATTGCTGGAACTCTTCCGCTTGCAACCAGCCATCAATTTGTCACACGCAACATCAATCGCATTCCCTATGTCCCAGTGGGGACGCCTTTACAACCGCCAACGGTGACCAAAACATATGTGCCATATCCCACGTATCCCACCTATCCAACGTATCCCACCTACCCCTATCCCGTATACTCTAGTTATCCAACAACTTACTATAAATACGGCGGTACTTATCCTTATTCGTATGGCTACTATCCCAACTATGGTTACGGCTACAGTTACTCAACGGGTGTCTGGTGAAAGCTCACAATTATTGGGTTGTAACGTCATTATAATATTCTACTAAACTATCATTATTCTCAGTGATAATAACTGAAATGTTTACAACTGATACCAAATATCCAGTATTTATCTATTGTACTATAAACTTACAAGTATAACGACATGCAGAATATATTTGTAACTCTTTTTAAAGAGTATTATATCAAGATTTGAATGCTTCATTTTTTATAATACTGACCTTCAATAACTCCCGTCTTTCTTCAGCAAAATCGGAATCATGTTAGTAAGGTCTATCTCAGATGGACTTAGGTTTTTGGTACTTACTTTGACAGCTTCCGCTTGAAGTTAAAACGCTTTGTCTTCCTAAGATGTTTCCTGCGTCTGATGTGCTTAGTGAGAAGTAATGTCTTCAGCTTGACAACATTTTAAAGTAAATAAATTCTTCCTACATCTTCAGATCTCTTCAGATTTTTCATGTCCCCAGCTTATTCGATTTTTTTGAATGCTTTGTATTGGTGGCAGTTTCTTATTTGCTTCAACTGCCGAGTATTCCATAATCCATAATCCTCTCAATTTTTCTTAAATAAAACTTCTTTAGACATTAGGCGGCATTTGGTAACGTAGAAAATAAAGTTTTCTAGGCTTTTTTTTATCGGAATAACAGACTAAAAATCGTTCTACAAATTGAAATATAATACAATTTATATTTTTAGAAAAGTGTGTTCTTAATTGTTTGATCAACTTTTCTGTAGACCTTAGTTAGATGTTTGTAATTAAGGCAATATTTCGGATATAAGTTGATCTAGAACTTTTCAGTTCGAAAAATGTGAACCATCCCAAGTAGTTACATTTTAACGTTTCCCTTCAAAATATAAGGTCGTTTAAAATAAAGAGTAAATGTAATGTTGTACGAAATATTTTGAATTACAAAATCTAAACTGAAGTACTTTTTATTTTATATACCTTTTTAATCTCCAAATCCTTGAGTGCATTGATTATTGAAAAATCTTTCAACAAGAAAGTTGCATTCGATTGCTTTAAAGCTCTATAAAGCGTTCTTTTCTGATTTATTTCCGATCAGTTTCACAAAATTGTCGAATTGGCGTACAATTCTTTATAACTAAAAAAATATAAATATACATCTAATTCTGTTTTTACACGGTAGATTGGTTCCAGAAACAACCGTGCAAAAAAAGACATTGATCAAGAAATTTTTAATTTTCAACCCGAGTTATTTCAAAATCGTGTGAAAAATGAACGTGTAAAAACAGAATTAGGCGCATACATAAATATAAAGAACTTTTTTCGTGTATTCATTAACTTTACAAAAGAGTTTTATAAAAAGTCATGTCTGCATTATTTTAATAATATCCTGCAGATTCTTTAGTTTCCTTTCTCAAACGTAAAACCGTAATATTTTCGGACGGCTTAACAATTCATATTGGAATATTATATAGTAGAAACGTAAAAAGAATAGCAAACATTTTACAATTTTGGTTAACCAAAGTTTTGTTTTTATTGGGAGAAGAAATCTGTTTAGCTTATAACTAATACCTCCTATTTAGAAGAAGAAGGGGGCAGGAGCGATTAGGCGCGCTGGCTGTATGAGTCTAGCAGGAGCAGGAAATGTCGGCACCGCTGCCAAGCCAGCAGGTGTGGCCACCAAACGAGCAGGAGGAGGAGCGAAGGCGGCATTGAACTGGTTGAAATAATCCAGACGTTGGCTGCTCGATATAGCCAGAGGTGCGGGAGCGAAGGGGCCGGGCGCAGTGTAGGCGGCGAAAGGAGCACCCGCTCCTGGAAAAGCGGCGAAAGGTGCGGCCGGTGGAAGGGCAGGCAGCAGGGCGGGCTTAGCCGACACACAAGACGCCAAGGCCAAGCACAAGAACAAAATCTAAAAAGGATATGTTCATAAATGAATGATTCCAACAATTGCCAGTGCCTTACCATTTTTTGCATTTCAGTGGAAACTTTCGAAGGAATTGTAGATTGTAGACCGAATACTGCCAGTCGTCGACTCCAAAAGCTGAATATGCTCCAGCAATGAATTTGCATTGTTTTTATAGCCAAGAAAATGCCACTATTGCTGGGCAACTGGGTCTCTATGCCGCTGCCAGAGTCAATGCATTTGGCAGGTAATTTGCACCCAAAGTTGTCACGCATTTGGATGCGAAATTAGTAGCTGGGCCAAATAATCCAAAGATAATTTGCATATTTGGTTGCATTGTTGTCTTTGTTACGTCATCGATGCACTTTTATGGTCGGCATCTGATTGATGGATATATTGGGGTTAGCTAAATGGCCTAATGAGGCATTGCCGAAAAAGCTGCAACAGGTGTCTTGGCAAAAAGCCAATGAAAGAGAGTGAAGGCAATGGAAACTAGAATTATCACTTATGTTTCGAAATTTGAGAATGTTTAGAGAAGATTAAAAATAATACAATTCCAGACCAATTGAGATGGAGTTAGATATCATTTTATATTTTATTTATTTATTTATTTTCTCCTGGCGCAGAGTTTGACTTTTCGATGAGGATGCCCGGCAACACTTGGCAGCAACTTGTGTCTATAGGTTTATAAATATTTCTTTTTATTTGGAAATTGTTTTTTTGTATAGGCCTTTTAACGGGTCTGACTACCAAGTGCAGTGATTCGGGGCATGGCTTCCCATTAAGTCAGAAACGTTGTTTAAATATTATTGTAATTTGATTAGATTTTTCCAACATAAACCATCCTGGCTTATAAGACTTTTTTATAACTTCTACTCTAAAGATTGTTTTGTTCCTAGAGCTGTGGATATTTCAAAATTAGCTACGTTTCGTAATCATGAGTTTGCAATGTAAAATAGGAATTTAGGTTGTTTGCATTTATAGAGTTTGTTCACGTTTTTGATAAATTAAACAAATATATTTCATTTTATTTAGGTATCTTTAATAATAGATATAATGTAATGTTAATAATAAAGCGATTTTTGATCTGTATTTGATCATTCAGTTATTCGTTTATTTAGCTGATCTATATATGTAGGCAAATAATACACTTATTTTTTCTTTTAAATAATTATGCGCACTGAAGTTGAATTAAACTAGTCATTTTGTTCTTGTAGCTATTGTAGTTTTAACGTATTCCTCTCCTGAAAGCCAGGCGTTCAGCTATGAGTGTGTATGTATGTATGTATGTGTGTGTGTGTGTATTTAATAGTTATGTATTGTAGTATGTATGCAAATATTATATGCACTTTGGATATACATATCGTTACGACATTTAGCATAGGCCTTGGTTAGTTGCTTTCGTTAGTTTCTCGAAGGGGAACCCCAATTAATGAAGATGAGTATTTTGGTTAGCTATGAGTACATGCTGAGTATCGATAACAAACGCCACACAGTATTAGTACTAAAAGGGTTAAAGTAATAAACTCTATTGGACAATTCCCCGATACTATACCCACACATCGTATCTGTGTGTGTGTACATTAAACACTAAACTTAGTGGATTGTTAATTAAATAACTAGTTGGGGCTTTCTATGCAGCCCACTATATACAATTGATGAGAAAACTATGTAAAATTATTAACTAGTACTGTTTGCTTACTTACAAAGTAATTGTTCGTTACATTTCTGCCTCGATGCTCTGATGCTTGTGGCAAGGCATTTGTCGACACTCAAAAGGATTCCGTGGATAAAAATATCTAACTAAGAATCACAGTGTATATAGTGCTGAGCGCGAACTCGGCTGATTGATAGAGACTTGAGGAATGTTGGTCAGCACAAAAGCATAATTAAAACGTTTTACGAGACGTTTTAGAACTGAACTTAGATTGTAGATTGTATGAGATTTCAATTAATTAAAAATAAAATATGCGTTGCTACAAATAATTGCCAATTCATCGACTATACTGAGTCGAGCTGCAGAAGGTTTAGATGGGTCCAAGTCGATAGCTGGAACTCCATTAATGCCTTACCACAAGACATCATAATCGTAGACATGTTCGGAAGAGGCTATAAGCAGACACTTGACAAAATCATCGAAGGTGCGTTTTAGTTTCCATTTCTTTGGCTTGCGCAGCAACTGCAGCTTCTGCCTAACCTGCGCTTTGGGCGTCAATTTGTTGGCCACGCCGGCGACATGCCAGGGGCTAGTGGAAGTCGATTTTGTTTGCTTTAGCGGCACATTGCAGTAATCGTGCTGTCTGATGTCCTTGTGCTGCTGCAGACGTTGCTCCTGATAGTAGTGGTTTAGGTTGGCCAGATAGAAGAAATCGCAGTCGTTAACCACATCTATTTCGGCATAGTTGCCATCACTTTCCCGGTCCATTGATGGCTTGTTGGCTGCTGCCGTGTTGCGAGCGTTCTTGGCAAAGAGTTGGTCAAATCACATGTTTTCATCAAATTTGGCAAAGTTGTTGTCCTCGGCCCACTGGAATTTATTGGAATTGCCATCGCTGCCACCATTACCAGCACCCTTGTCCCCAGCACCAGCCTCCTCTTCGGCGGTAGGCGATTTAAAGAACTCATCGTCCTCGAACGGATCCTCATTCTTTTTGGCAAATATATTAACCGATTCGGATTTCTTAATCAATTCCTGACGTTGCTGGAGCTTGCTGTTCCGTATATTCTGCTTCCTGCTCATGGCAGCGCTGGCCGGCGCCGCGGCGCCGTTGTTAGACGCTTGTGTCCATTGCTGCGTCGCCTCCTCCTTTTCAAATTCGAACGATGCCTTGGCAAAGTCATCTTCGAAAGCTGCGTCGTCGAACTGCGAGACCTTTACATTGTCGTCGAAGCGTAGTTTTTGGGTTATGGGAGGCGTCGACGTCTGTGGCGTTTCCATGTCAAAGCTCGGCGGTTGCTGCTGTTGTTGCTGCTGTTGGAGCTTTTCACGCTCTGAGAAATCATTGGAGAATCGGAAGAGCGACTTGGAAGTGCTGCCGCCGGCGACGCTGCTGCCGGACACCGGGCCAGCGGGCGTCGATGTGCAGCTCGAGGCCGTGCCAGCTGGGGCTGGTGGCGGCGAGCTCTGATTAAAGTCCGACTCGAAGCCATCGTCGAAGTTAAATTTGCCGCTGCTGCCGTTTCCATCGCCGGTCATCACCGCCGAGCTGCTGGCATTCGAGCGCGGTGTGGGCGTCTGCTCGTAGCTGTCCACGAAGCCATAGTCAGTGACACCGCTGCGTGTGCTGCCCGCATAACGCTTGACATCCATGCCCAAGGAACTCTTCAGTGCACTTAGTGGGGGCGGCGGAATCTTGCCCAGACCCTGGGCGTGCATCTGGCGACGTTCGCTTTCGAGCATGCGCTGATGCATTTCATGGCGTCGCCGGTTTAGGCGCTCAAATTTGTCCTCATCCGTCGGTGGCTCTTCTTCGTACTCCTCGTCGTCTACATAGTCCTCATCGTCATTGTCCTCATCGTTCTGACAAGCAACATAATTGTCCCTCACGCCGCGACCTCGGTGGCCGCAAGGAATATTGCCAACATTTGCCAAATCCTTGGCGCTGCGAGCTCGCGTCTTCTTGCGGAATCTACTAGAAAAGTGAGGGGAAAAAGATTTTATTTGGATTATATTTCAGGGATTAGTTTTTTTTTTGTTTTGGCTTACCTGCGATCCTTCTCGCCATCGGAAGGCGTTTGAGCCAAGGCTGCAGCGCGTCTACTTTCTGCCAAGCGACGTTCTGTCTCGGCCGCGCTCGAGGGACGTTTCCAGGATTTCTGGCCAGGCAACGAGGGCTCTGAAAATGTAGGGAAAAATATGTTTTTAATATTCTTCAAAAGATTATGTTGTGTTCACATACCCTCGCCATCCCAGGGACTGGATCCGCTGCTCTTACGCAGGCGAGGCTGTGCGCCAGCACCTCCGGCTACTTCGCTGCCGAGCTGACTCGGTCGTTGTAGACTCCGTGTGTCTAAGGACCGACCACCACGCGGTTGCTGCAACGGCGGCGGTTGCTGTGGGTGATGAAAATCGTTCTCCGAGTCGTGTTCAAAGTCGATGTCGCCGGTGGCGCGCAGCTTTGATGGTTTTCGCAGCGAGCGTGTTTTAAGCTCCGCAGTACTACCGCCTAAATAACGATCCCGATAATCCTCTCGGCTATCCAGACTGCCGTATACATCGCCACCACTGCCAAAGCTGCGACGTCGTCGTGTGGCGCTCTCAAAGGATTCAACACTTTCGCGATCGAACGATTTGCGTTCGCGTTCGTACATATAATCACCACGTCCCTTGTAGTCCATGGGTGAGCGCCGCCCGTCGTAGACATTCTCGTAGTCGGTGCGACGATTTAGTTTCTCGCCACGATATTCTCCGCCATAATCATCAAAATCGTAGTTGGGCCGTTGGTAATCACGATGGAGACGGTAGCCATAGGCACGGCGATCATAGCCAGCGCCACCAGCAGCTGGTCCGGGAACTGGATTGCCACGCTTATCATAGATGGGCGGGCCGTAGGTAGAGCGCTCGTAAGCACTGCGCTCAAAGGAGCGTGCCCGAACCCCCTGCTCTATTTCCTGCGGCGACCAAGTGTGATGGGCCGGATGATGGTACCAGCTGGGCGAATCTGCACGCGAAGGCGGCATTAGTGGAGGAAAACGATCGTCTTTGTATAACTTACCCAGTTCAAAGTTATCTCTGCTGCGGGACAGCACGTGCTTCAACTTGCGTTGCTGGTCTCGCCTAGTGGCATACTCTTCATCATAGCTACACACAGACAGATGATTAGGATTTAATGAAGGTTGAATTAATTTCGTATACTTACTCGTAGTCTTCGTCGCAAGAGTTCATGCGTCGTGCATGGCGCGTATAAAAGCCAAGCCGTTCGGGATGCGTGACCTGGGCCTGCATTCCGGGCGGCAGGCGTCGCTGCTGCTTTAGATATTCAGGCGTCTCATCATCCCATGGGCTAAGGTCACGGGATGAGGATGATGTCTGTTGGCGCTCCTTCTTTGGCCAGCGGCGACCACCCATGCTACCCGGCTGCTTCGACCAGCCCTCATCACGTGGATCCGATGAGCAGGGCGACTCTGCTGTGTCCTGTTGAGATGTGTTCGAAGGCGGTGGAGGCGGCAGATTCAGCGTATTGGAACGTACACTCGGCTTAAGAGTCTGACGTGCACGCTTCTCTGATGCCAGTTCGTAGGCCGCTGCCTTGGGGGAATCGAAGGTTGCCCACGAATCTTTGGCTGCTTTGGAAGCATCGCTGTCGCGATCTCCCATCTGCTTGGTGGCGGTGTCAATTAGCTGTGAAACAGCCGATAGATGCGAGGGTACGGGCGACACTTGAGCGCCATGTGGCTGAGGGGACTTATGGAGGGGTATGGGCGAGGTGCTAACATCGTTGAACTGCGAAGGAGTGTGCAGGGTATGTGGTCCTCGGGAGGGGGCCGAAGCGGCACCTGTAGAGTTAGCCGGGGAGGTGCGATCGCGAGAGTCTAATGACAAATTTGAAATGGCTCGTTGCATTAAATCATCAATTTCAATATCGTCCCTGGGGCCGATTATGCCGCTGGCAGAGGTAACCGTCAGGAATTTGTGATCCTGCTTGGTCAGCTTTGTAACATCGCTAATATCGTCAGCGTCGGGTTTCGAGTCAACCTTCTCACCGTCCAGTTGCTGTGTGGAGGCCGACAACTTTTCATATTGATCTTGAGCGCTGGTTACTTCAGCGTCCTTGTCATTGCTATCCAGACTACTCTCACCGCCCGCATCCTCGTCATCATCATCATCCACTGTTAGCGCCGATGAGGAGGGCTCTGCTGGGAAGCCTCGACTATCTACCAAGCCTCGCCTATCAGGACCAGTACTGCTTGCCCTATTATCCATGATCTGCCTGAGGTCCTGATCCTCGTTAAACTCATCACTAAACTCCGGAAAGTCCTGCATGAGATCCTTTTCTCGTGACGCTCCACCAGCGCTGCCAGACTGCTGCTTGTCAAACAAATTCTCAACGAGAATGATGTCGCGTAAGGCAGCATAGCGATCCTTGGCTTGTGCCACTACCTCCGTGATTTTGGTGTCAATCTTAGGCAGCGGTGGCTGTTCAACTTGCTGCTCTGGCGGGCTTATAAACCCATCTACGTCCAATTTCTCTTGTGGTACATTTCCAAGCTCTTCGGTGTCAGCCACTTAAATGGAAGAGAATATAATTGTTATGCATATGCTCGCTCAAAACCTTTGACGGTATTTTACTTTGAAATAGTAACTATTATTTACCCAATTTTTAAATTATCTCCCACAGAGACTGAAGCTATGATAACCTTTCTGATATGAATTTTAATGTTTAATTTTATCTTCTCAAGACTACGAATCAATTTTCACTTCTATTTCAATTTTCACCAGCTTAGCTCGCCTCAAGATACAGCTCACAGTTTTTCCCCATCGCGGGTTAGGTTAGAATTCAAGTGATTGGTTGCCCTTTAATACTGACAGGTTTGAAATGAATAGTTTACCTACATTACACCATATAACCTACAAATGGTGTTTGACTCTCCCAAAAGCAATTTTACTTTCTATTTCTCTAAGTAACTTAAATTTTTCTGTGGCTTTGAGAGAGTTGCGTAATTTTCGTTCTCTCTTTCCGGCCCAACGTAGTTTATATGAAACAATTTATTTAACAGTTGAAAGGTTTAATTACCTGGTGGAGGGGTCAAATCACCCATTAAGTCGGTATCCTGGTGTTGTTGTTGCAACTCCTGGTCGATGATCTCTCTGAATACGGCATAGCGGTCTGCGGGGGGAACGGCTGGCACTTGGCCGCGATTCTCCATACCGGGTGCTGTGGTTGCTGCAACGGGCGTTTCATTAAAGTTGGCGAAATTTGCCACAAAAGCATCCTGCGCGCCCGCCCCCATATCTTCGCCAAAGGTATCGTCAAACTTGGCCACAAAAGCGGTCTGCTGATCAAAGTTCACCTTGAAAACGGCTGAAGTGGGTGCAGTTGTAGAAGATGCGGCCGCGGGTATGGGACTAGCACTCGGCACCTGTCTGGGTAACGGACGCGCTTGCTCGGTGGATAGGTATTCGGAGAGGTAAGCAGTAAGCTCGACTAGTGTCATTGTGCTCAGCTTGGTTGTGGGCACATTCAGTTTAACGGCCAGTTCGTCAATCCCTAGTGTTAGCAGCTGGGTCAGTGTAATATCCGGTGCCAAAGCGGCAGCCTCGGCCTTCTCCCGTGCCTGCTGTGCCTGCATTATCTCGGCCTTGTTCTCGTATATATCTTGCGGTTTGCCCAACGACTGTTGACGTTGGGGTCGCGCGCGTGTCGAGCTTTGTATGGGCGGTGGCAACAAAGGTGGCACATCCGCGCTTCCCGCTCCAGCACCGCTCGCTGTATGGCCGACGGGCGCCAAATAGTCGTCCTCTGTGTGGCCAGGCTTCCGTGGCCGGCCGGGTCCAGGAAAGTAACCATCGGAACGGCCCACACGCCTCGAGGGCAATGGTATGGGCGGCACATCTGTGGCCGCCGCAGCCGCTGCTGCGCTACGACGCAGACTCGACGTAGTGTTGTTCAAGTATTCATAGCGGCCACCAGGAGCTGATGATGATGGCATCGCAGCTGGGGTCGTGTGCGGCCTTATAACAATGTCGCTAAATTGTTTTTTGGGCGGCAGCGGCGGCGGTTCGGAGTAGGGCGCCGAATCTGGTCGTGGCGGCGGTTCCGGTGCCGTCTCATTCTCGCTCAGCGAATCGCTCTCCTGCAGACGACGCATGTTAACGCTAGAGTTGTTGTCACGCTTTGAGAAACGTGCCTGTCCGAACAGATGGGGCATCTTCTTGTTACTAATGCTCGAAATGACATCAACCGTCTGTTGCTTCAAAGCTGCCCCGGGCGGCAGCGCAGCCAGTCCTGTGCCTCCACCTCCCGCCGTGGGTCGCGTGCGTACGGAGCTGGTAACTGCCTCCGTCATCTGTCGCTCTAGTCGAGAGATGTCAGCCTTCCAGGTGGCCGTTGTTGCTGGTGCTGGTGGTGGTGGCGTTGGTGATATGCCACTCCCACTTTCGGGCGGCAACTGAACTTGAAGCGGTCCATTGAAGCTATTGTTGCCACCAGTTGCAACTCCAGACTCTGCGACGGCCGACGTGGCGGCCGTATCAAACTCAAAGGCATCCAGTTTGGAGAACAAATCACCGTCTTGGAAGGGATCAGGATCGCTCTTTTTGCGCGTCGGTGAGAACGGATCTGTGTCGCGGGGCAGCAGCACGGGATCATCTAGGACGCTGCATGTCGTTGATGTTTGCTTGGCCGACGCACCCACTGGTTCTAGAGTATAATAGTTCACTTGTGGATTAGTGGGGTGTTTCAAATGGGACGACTTTAGAATAGCGGTGCTAAGCATAAGTTTTAATTTGGCCGCCGAGAACTCATCAGTAGACGTTTGGGAACTGGGAAGTGGGACCGTTTGGACCGAACTGGACAAGGACGAGATATTGGTCTGAGCTGGGGCACTGGAAGAGTTGGGTGGGTGGATAGTGGGGCTGGTGTTGGGCTTGGAACTGGAACTGGAGCTGGTGGTGATTAGTAGGTGCTGGCTTAGGCTTAGAGCAGTTGTTAGAGTGTTAGTAGCGGTGACATAAGTAGCAGAGGCGTTGATGGCATTAGCGTTTCCTGCGGTGCAAGTGCAAATAGTTTTGTTAGCTGTGTTAGTTTGGTTCAAGGCGTTATAGTTAGGATGTTGATATTGGCGATAATATCGATATTTGCAACATTTACAATTAATATTATAGTTTTTGAATATATACATATTTATGTACAGAGTGGTCGATGGTTTGGTACGAAAAATATACACACTAGGAATAAAGGCAGCCCAGAAACTTGTGGACTATTCAAATATTGACATATCGATATCAACCACCCTAAGCGGTAGCACCTGTTGCCGCAGTCGCAGTTGCCGTCGCTGCTGCAGCTGCTGCTGTACCTGGTGTGGATGTGGTGCCTTGGTTAGTAGTGGCGCACATATTCTGTGGCCTGGTGTTAGTAATCAGGCTGGTTGGAATGGTTGGAGCCTCCTCGAAGAGACACTCCTTGCTGAGGAATTCATCGACCGCCACTGCCGTTGCTGTGCTGTAATTAGCAGCGCCACCCTCGCCACCTGTAGCACCACCGAGTGCCTGACTACCGGTCAAATCTTTGAGCACTTTCTTGGGCGGATTCTTGAGCTCTTGGAAGAAGTATTTCTTATCGACATAGGGCCGTGTACGGCCAATGCCTAGCGGGTCCAGATCTGTAAAAGCATCTGCACATTTTGAGAGAGAGACTCGAGTCAGTGACACTGTGGTGGCTAGGCACGAGTACACAGCTCAAAAGTGCAAGCACGCACCAAATGAGAAAACAAACCAAAAATGTGAGGAAACTCAAGAAAACCATAACACAAAGTTAAATTCAATTAAAAGAACACGAAATGGTCCGCCACAAAAAATGTTGTAAATCGCAGCCAAGCTTCGATTGGGTGATTATATTTTTAAAAAGAAAAACCATACATGTTATGATTATATAGTCGAGTTCATTCGACTATACGATAACCTGTACCAAACAGTTATTTTATGAACACGAGTATACTGGCCTGCTTTCATTTCTAACTTCAATCAAATTTATAATGATTTGATTAGTTGAAGCAAGCTTAAAGTTTAAACTTAAACTAAGCGAATATTTGGTTGTCTTTTGTGGACCTTAGCAGCTATTTTGATATAGCTCGATCGCCATTTCAGACTTATATAAGCTAATACGGACTGACCGACGCAAATGACTTTATTGAAACCCAAAGTACAGGATATAAAAAGTACATTTTCATATCTGTCATGTTGTTAGTAGTAGTTGGTTACTTTATTAATAGTAAGGTACATATTTAATTAAAGTCGCATTCACACTGGACGAAATAAAGCAACAGATTGATATAAAGGTGCTGGTTTGAATCAAATTACAAAATAAATATTGGAAGTGGATGTGGCTTCTTAGTGTTAGACTAGCTGTTTTCAAACTAAAATTTAAGCCAATAACAATTGAATTAATATTGTATAACTAAATGTCCATAACATGCGGAATCGCCTTTTGTATACGTTAACTTTATCTTCCCCCTCTCCTACATCTCAATAAAAAACGTCGGAATCGTTCCTATGTTAACTGTAAGATAAGATTTTATTAAAACTTCAGAAGTTCCTTCTACCTGCTACATAAGGATGTCCTTTTCTTAATGTGGAATTACCATTGATTTAAAATTTTATAATTAAATGTCTATCGAAGTTACACTATTGGTTTTAGAAAATTGACTTTAAGAATATTTTTCTACCTACTTGTATATAGTCTGTGGCAAACATAAAGCAATGAACATACTATAATCATAGCTTGACAATGAAAAATAAACAAAAACTAAAACAAGAGCACGCACCCTCCCTAACCTTTAATCTGACCCCAGAATCGAGTGCCCAGTGTGAATGGCGGCTTTTCATTCATTAACAACAATGCCATATACTTGTTTGTATGTTGATATATATATATGTGTATAATGTACAAGTGTATATAGAAACATGTATGTATGCATGTATATCTACAACGTAATGAAATAAGCCACTCTGTCCACTCACCCGACATGGTTGCCGCTTGCGCTGAATCGCTCCCAGCCGCTGCAAATTCCGTGCCAGATAGCCCCAAACTGCTTAGCTCAACATCGGCGAGGGCGGAGGCCTCACTTAATTGCTGCGTGGGCGTCGATGTTGACTCGCTGGCGGCCAGGGGTGCCATAGGCAGACCGCCAGTTCCACCGGTGCCACTTAATGCGGCCAAGCCCATAACACCCATGGCAGTGGCCTTGGTGGTATCGAAAACATCACTCTGTTGCTCCAATTCGTGCAGCCAACTATCATCATCGTCTGCCTGGAGGGTGGCCGGCGAACCGCTGGCCCCGGGCGCAGGCGATAACAATGTCGACATGGCTTCGAGTGCGGAGCCACTTTCTGCTTTATTTGCAGGCTTGTGACGCGTGCGTCCCGAATCCGGTGGCGGTGGCAAGATATTGTATGACTAAAAGAGATATTTACAATCAGTATGTATCCCAGCTAGTGACAGTATGATTGCAACAAACCGGTACATAGATAAAGGAGTCGCCAAAGGGATCATCCTCGCTAGCTGATTTGCCCAAAGCAGCAGCAGACTGCCCAGCGGCCGACTCATTGGGTGTGATGCGCTCCATTTGTGTGATGCCACGCTGCAACGAAGTAAGCTCCTGTTCCAGATCAACCAGATCGGCGACAGATTCGGGCGACAGCTGCAAAGATTGGCAGTTGTTGGATGACATTTCTTTAAAATCCTATGCGTATCTTGGTTTTACCTCTTTGGCAGCTGCTCCGCTTGTCTTGGCCACGTCCAAGTTGACACCCAGACGCGTTTCACTGCTGACACCATTGGCGCTCGCACCCAAACTACCCAGCATGGTGAGCGTATGTGCGCTGCTTGTGCCCGTTCCGAGCTCACTGTGTCCGCCGGCCGACTTTAACGATGACAATGAGGCCAGCTGACTTGCATGATCGTGCAGTGTTTTTCCCTGGATTTGTTGGCGTGCCATCTCAATTTCCTTCTTTTTCAGCTCAAACACAACCTGGAAGAGATCGCGCATGGCCAGTACCACCTGGCTGGCAGCCTTGTCTGTTTTAATACCAAAGAAGCGATGCCCGCTATCGGGCGATCCAAAGATATAGCCAAAGGCACGCGAATCCGTCATGTCCTGGGCAATGAACGAGATCTTATGCACAGGATGATGGTACAGTGAGTCCCCTGTCTTCTCGTCCCGCAATCGTAACCCATCAATGGTCACGTGTATGGTGATGCGTTGCTTGTGCTCTCCGGCCGCGCGTATTGCCATCTTCAAGTCCTGCAACGCCTCCTGGCACATGCGATCGCCACGCGCTTCCCCCACCTCCAAGATGCCAATGAGCTTAGCCTTGAACTGCACGCCATCGCCAAAGAAACGGCCGGGATCATTGCGATCTATGGAGGAAATAAAAATATTGCATCAGCACTGTGTACGAAAATCCATAGATAGATATATCTATGTATGTATATATTGTATATAAGCAAGCAAACAAATGGTTTCTAGATAATTGCTAACGTTTTGCGTAGTTCGTCTCCTGTACACCAGATGATCCGCTACCGCCGCTGCCTCCACCTACAACAGAGCTGAACGTGCTGGCCAACGATAAATTCGACGATGCTGTGGATAGTTTGGACACGAGCGACTTGACCATTTTCCCTGCCAATACCCAATTGTGACTGCGTCAGAGTCAGCGTCAGAAGCGCACCCACAGTACCCGTCGGGTGTGTCAACAAAACAATCTAGTTACGAGATTCTAGATATTAATTTCTCTGTAGCATCCAGCTACTGGATAGCGCAGCTTCCGTCTCATGACGCCGCATCACCCGTTCGCGTGTGCAATTGTGTGTGTCTCACTTTCATGCCATTTCCATGCCGCAGACAAAGGCAAACAAACAAGCAAACAATATGATTTTCGCGTATTTCTTTAACTTGTTTGTGTATGTGGTTTTTTTTTAGACTTTTAATTTAATTCTGAATCGCGCAGCTGCGACGCATTGAATGACGAAACGAAACCGAAGCGATCGCGCTTCTGGAATGACAACAAACGAATGTATAGAATAGAACGATGCTGCTGCTCTGTTAATGCCTCCACTGGACCGAACCGAATTAACGTTGTGCGGGTGGCCGCGGTGGCGACGGCGCCGTTATTTGTAAAAATTTAAAAACAAACACAAAGACACAGACACACTTATAAACACACATGCACATGCGCACTGAAATTCCACTATTATTAAGCGCTTTTTCTTGCAGCAGATGCAAGAGCGGTGAGAGAGAAAGAAGAGCGAAAAAAAAAAATTTGTTGTCGTTGGTCGTCGCAAAAACAACAAAACTACGTATAGTACAACAAATACAACACTCGAGAAAGCAGCTGCACCGACAACACCACCTGCCGACGACTCGTTAGCTCTATTGTTGGGCGCACAACGACGTTCAGACGGTATTAGTGTATGGGCAGGTGAACGGCGTACGACTGATCGTGTATGCAATGCCTTCAGTCGATCGCCGATACAAAAATATTAATGTCTATCGATACTTACATTTACAAGGACTCGTCTTCTTTCGTAGCGTCTGCATGGTTGTTACAATGAATTGATTAGCATTCGTGTGATGACCTGTGACCTTGCGTATGGTGACGGCAGTTGTGGCTGCTTTATGGCAGCGTTGACCCTCCTTTTATTTATAAACCTATCACAGTTTAATTAATTTCCTTGCCGTGACTCGTCATTTGAACGAAGTCTGTCGTTAAATATATGGATTTTTAATGTGGGCTGCTTATTCATATGCTTTGTTTACACCCGACTTCTTCGTTATTGTTATTGGTATCTTCTTCTTTTACACTACAAAAGTGTAACGGGTGTACGTTGTGGGTTGTTGTTGTTGTTGCTTAGTTCGGTCGATAGTACGGGCCGGCATTTATCGTACTACAAATACACATCATAGATTATTGATTTTTCAATTGCCGTCGCATGGGCCTGCGTGTGTGTATGTTTGGCTGAATTTTTGCTGGCTAGTGATGCCTACTTTTCGGCGTTCCTAAGGCAGACTTTGTATTTGAAATCACGTATTCCGCGTAGTAACTGACTACGACTTAAGCGTTGAATAATCAATAAATTACGCTCATGCTTTTTGTAAGCCCTAATTTATGTTTGAATACCGCATGTGGTTGTTCCAAACTACTTCACATGAACAGGAAGGCGACTTAATTCCGTTTTGATTTAAGTTTATATGATGAAAGCCTTTTGAAACATCCTTTTTACATGTCTGGCAGACAAATGGTTCCAATTTGTTACACACACGAAATCCCAGAGACTGCGAAAAATTACCACGAAAATTACTACGAAAAATTACCATTTAAGCAGTTATTAACCCTATTTCGTCTATTTACAATTTTCAATAGGTGCACCTGGCATTCCAGTAGAAAATGTGTATTTTATTTGCTAATAGTTTGCGGTTTTTGTGATTTTTAAGCAATTTTTTATATCCGCCCACAATGCACGAAGTGCACACAAAAAAATTCGATAGTAAACTCCAAGGATACAAAGTGGTGGTGCCTTACTTGAAACGCCCTGTACAACCGGTATGAGTCATCTATCGATAAATTATTGGCGCGCACACTAATTTTAAAGTTTAAAACAACTGTATAATTACTATACTTGTTTAAGTAATATTCAAACAAAAACAAATTCAAAGCATATTTTAATTACCTACTTTCCACTTTATTTTTACTAACAACATTGTTTAAAATAAATTAAAGCCTTTCCTCCTCAGGTTTGCTGCCGGACCAAGTATCTATAACTCACACTATAATTTCGGACTATAATATACTACATTAAAGCACCTATTCTAAACATAAATTTCCTTTATTTTACATTTCATGAAATTACAAGAGCGGTAAGAAACGTTATAAATTCAAAAGCGACTAAACTGTTATACAGTGCGCATAGCTATTCGATGGTGCTCTCACCCCTATCATATCGATTGACGGCCGACTACCGATATATTGTGCTGCCAGACATATTGCAACCGCTCATAAGAAGTATTTCACTCGACCGCGGCGGACGTGCATTCTGTTGAGCGGAAGAGCAACGAATAAATTTAAAGTTGTTAATGCCAATTATTTAATGCAATAATAGCAATCATAATTGTGCTCAGCATTATTTAGAATCTGTACCGTTACAACCATTCGTGACCGGTGGCGTGCTTTTTAAGTGGAGTTTTTAGCAAAACGTGCGCGCGTCGCTTAACAATAGCAGCGCAACAGTTATTTTAAAAAATTTTTCCTTTGTGCAAAGGTATTATTAACAAAGTGCTAAACGTGGTTATAAAACAACGAGAAAAATTGATTAACAACCAAGCAAACCAGTTAGCAGCTGCCAAGTTTCAAATTTATACAATTCAAGCCACACTACGACAGAGGATTTCGTTTCGTAGTGTGAATATTCTCGGCCAGGCAACAACACACACAGCACAGCAATAGAAATAGTTACTTTTGGTCCATCATTTTGGTTAACAAACTAGCAATCGCTATGCGAAATTGAGCAGCGTCGCGTTATATATAGTGTACATGTGTTCTCAGTGAAATTTCCAAATTATAAGTTACATTGGAAAAGTGTAAATACAAAGAGTGAGTGCTTGCAGCCTATACCAACACATATACACAACACACACGTACACTAACACAACACACATACAAATAGTGGAGCAACAGCAACAAAATGAATAAAACCTGTGCGCGTTGTCAAAAGGTGGTTTATCCCATCGAGGAGCTAAAATGCTTGGATAAGGTAAGTTTCGATGCAGTTTAAATTGAACTAATTTGCGTAACAAGTAAATAGATGCCTACCAGATAAATGACAATAAGCCTTAATTCTTGTACATCCCAAATAGAATTGGCACCATTCTGTATGTATGTATGTGTGTATATTAGTATTTTCCAGTTTTGCTCCTTTGCTTTATGCCGCTGCTTCGCACTTGTTGCGCGCGTTAAAGCGAGACGGATATACATCCCACTCTACACTGTGCTCATGCGTAGCAATCCTACGCAGTGGCGCTCTTGATGTGGTTTTTGTTGTTCTTGTAATGCTGCGCCCACAACAACACCACCAGCAGCAGCACTAGCACTAACAAAAACAACAGCAGCATAGCTTGATAATTACAACAACAAAGGCAATAAAAAGCTGTTCGGCTAGTTTAATTTGCCAGCCTGCTCCTTGCTCATAAATTACATACCGATTTAGCTTGCAAAATGCAAAAGCGCACAACGCAAAGTAACGGCACAGTCCATACACACTGAATTGACGACAGTCGAACTTCTATATAACGTTATTCAGCTTTCTTTTCTCTTTTTAAATATATGTATGTAAATTCGTATTACAGAAATAAATGATCACTTTGGCATATTTTTAAAAAGTAAACATTATTCTTACGCATTCTCTTAAAATAATGTATTTTGCGATTTGGATTGACAATATGCTGATTATATAGTATGTACATACATACATTCTATTCTTCCTTTTGGGCTTATGCATGTTTATGCATATATGTATGTATCTACATATATATATTTTATTATTTATCAGGTATTCTACGAAAAGTTCAAGGAAATTACTCAAAATTTTGAAATATGAGTGTTGAACAGTTTTCTTACATTTTTTATTAATCTGGTTAAGAATTTTTTGTTAAAAGGTTGGGTTTTTAGCGAAGCATTGCTTTTCGATTGGTTTTATAAAGTACTTCGAATGTAGTTCACCATTTTCGTTCGTTCCAAATATGTTTGACTGTAAAAACTTGTATGCATGCGAACAAATGTGTGTGGGTGGGTGTGAGAATAAGTGAGTGGGTGAGGGTATTCCGAGTGCGGGGTACTGTCTGGCCCGTCTGTTCTGCTGCTTGCAACAAATTTTTCAATTTTCGCCAACTCAGGAAATTTAAAATTGCTTTTAATTCGTGTCGCTGTTATTTCCGCAAAACAGCAGCGCAGTCGCCGGCCCTCACTCTCCTCTCTTGAAATTTTGAGTACGCGTGAAGCTGGAGGTGGAGGTAGAGGAGTGGAACAGAGGCGCCTGCCAAGCGCATCTTTTGATCTTAGTAGCCCTTCTGCCCGCTAGCTGCTCGCGATTTGCGTAAAAAAACAACAAAAGTAACAGCAGCAAACCAAACCAATCCGTTGACCGACCTTGAGCGCATATTTTCGAGACCAGTTTCGCATTCATACACACACATACTCGGAGCCTAACACACTTGTGTTGGTCATGCGTTGCTTTCTTCGGCATCTCCGCCGCCACCCCTTTGGTCCGACTGTTGGTCAGTTTTGCTGATTATTGGTTTATTCTTGATTCCAGTTTATTTTTATTGAAGTGTTTTCCGTCCGTCCGACGGAATGACAAGCTCGACCGCTCGTCTGAGCCCGTTCTTTATTTGTTTTTTGCTGGGTTGTGTCTATTTTTGCTGTTGTTCTCAGTACCTCTTTTGTGTGTGTGTGTGTGTGTGTGTGTGTCATGTATGACTGATGTGCAAATGAAGCTCCAAAGTACATGAAAATCATGATGACCGAAGCAGCCTCAATTGAAGAAATTTCTATTGTGTTTTTCTGTTGTTGCTTTTACTACTGCTCTGAAATATTTCGATTTTGGCAAAGAACATTCGGGGCTTTCTGTTTAATCTTAGAACTATGTTTGTTCCATATGTATGGCTGATAACGCCATGACAAAGCACCAGTGTATGTACCTACAATACGTAAATAAACAATAGCAACGAGCGCACGTTTATCAATTGCAATAAACAAAGTTGTTGCTACTGTTGCCTCAAAGCCCCCTACGCCTCGTTCCACTTCCAACGACAAGTTCAATTCCTACAAGTAATTAGCATTCAGAATAGCATTTCGTGTATTGTAATCAGTTACAAAAGCAGTTGTTGTACATCAACCTTCACCCTATTTACAAAACCGAGGAAACCTCTAGATTTGTGTGTCTTTCTGTTTATCTACTAAGCGGAGTTATTTAATTATAGAGAAGAACTATAAAGACGCGTGCGCGCATTTTGTTGTTCTCGCTCTCAAACGTTTTCTTCTAATTATAGACATGATGGAGTAATGAAAACTATATTTAAAGTCTACGCAATGAAGTCAGTTATAAAATATGCATGGCCCTGTTCTTGTTAATGGAAATGTTGAAATACAAACACAGACAGTCTTACAAATATGTAAACTCGTACTATATTTATTTGCCTCACATGTCCGATAGACGACATGTGGCAGGCGTTGCATTTTCATTCTAGTCTCATGTTTGACTTCAAGCATTTTACTGTGGCTGGCTGGCATGGAACGGGGGGAAGGGGCCAAGAAGAGAACGACAGAGGAGTTTAATGGTGCAGATAGGGTGTGTCATAGTCTCATTGCTGTATTGCATTGATATTACATTTATGTATATTGTAAGGTGTGAGAAAGGAATGAAGTCATGTGTATACATACATATTTCAAAAGATCATGAAACAAATACATTCTGGGCGTGAGTCATTGCTGGATGGTTAAGAATGCGAGGCAATCGGGTATTCATACATATTTATTTGTTTTTTGTTTAGATTCCGAAGTTGTTGATTAAATCGGTCTTGTGCACCTGTAAGTCATAAGCAAGTCACATGAAAACGTTAAGTGCTATTCATGTATTAACTAAAAATAGGCACTGTAGTCCAGCTGTTATAGGCAGTCATTTTTGTTTTAGAATCTAGATATTTCGATTGTTTGAATATGTGTTAAGATGTTGGTCACTATGCAAGGGTAAGACGGGATGAAAGAATCTTATGCCCATGAAAGCAGAAGATGAAATAAAATTATATTTGTTTACGTTTTAATGTTGTTTGTCAATAATTGCTCCCAATATACCAAAACTGTACTTATCACATGTCCTTGCAGCTCAGCTTCTCTAAGTCGACCTTAGGACAAAAAACTAATTTTAATGATGGACCGGGGCAATATTCCAGCGCATCGTGGCTATGAAATACCCACATATAAATATATAAAATGAGACTTAGGAGCTTCGTCGCTGTTGTGTATTGGACATTAATATCTTTATTTGTAGTTTAACAGGAAAAAAAAACTTAAATATAGTGAACAGATATCAAGTCGGTGTCAGCAATTTATTTAATATCAATAAAAATGGACATTGATTTGATTAAATTGTTATCGCATTATCAATATAAATAATATTTCTTTTGCTTTTACTTTAAAATGGCTTTACATTCGAATAAATTTTGTTTATATAGATATTATAGATATTTTTAATTTCCTCACAACAATGAAAATCCAGAAATAGTTTCAATTGTTGCACCACCCTAATTTTCAATTGACTATTTGTGGTAAAAAAAAAAACTCTAAGTTTTACACGTGACACATCCTGATATAGAAATCGATACTCGTGACGGCAATAAACGAGCATTTTATACCAATTATCTTTGTCGTCCTCCCACTTCCACCGCCATGCCCCTTTACCTTAAAACATTTGTACACACGGTTCGGAACTTTGTCTTGTCTTCTACCGTTGTTGTTGTAAATAAAAAAATGCTTTTTAATACCAACGGCGACGCTGTGAGTAACGCCGGCGCTTTGTTAAGCGATTTTTGATACGAAACTTCACTCAACTTGTCGCAGCTTTTGGCAATTTCATTTAATTTTGTTGTTGTTGTTGTTGTATTTTTTCTGCCGTTTTCAATTTGCAAAAATTCACGAATGTGAATTTGACTTTTGCGCTTTGCTGTTTTGGTCGGGTTGCTGCCGCTGCCGCTTCCACTTCCACCATCCGTGGCATGACGATTATTTCATGCTCGAAATGAAAGTAAATGACCTCTTTGTTGTGAGTGTGAACGATGGAGTGGGGGAGAGTGAGAACTGCACAGTGGTTTTGCATTCAAATACATAAAGCTCCCATTTTAAGGCTAAATTGATGTCAATTAATTTTCCAAAGTTTCAAAATACTTGACGTACTGCAAAGGAAACATTAAGAGCTGACTACACCTCTGTAATCAAGTATGCTTCCAAATCTTAAAAACCTGCTTCCGTTGGCAAATTTGACCAAATTATTTGAAATCAAAATTGATTAGCTAACCAAGCCTGAAGCAAGAATTACCTCAGAGAGTAATTAGTGATACAAAATTGAAAAACTACCTCTGCATATTTGCTTTCCGAAAGAAATTTCATTTATCCATCTTGTTTTTACATAAGTCGATCGAATCTAGAATAAGACTTAATCACTTATTAAGGAATATATTTGGGCGGCCTACTGGGCTAGAGTTATTGAAAATCATTTATAATCGTTTCAACAATTTGTAAAATTTCATCATATTTTTGAACTTTTTGTTGCTGATAAAAATGCATTGTTTGGCTTAAAAATAAACACACACAAGTATTTTTGAATTGCCTCTATATATTTCCCGGCACTTTAGAGAAATTGTTCGTTTTCAAATGTATGGAATAGGAATGCAACTTTATTTAAGTGAAATTGTTTTGAAATTTTCAGCGCAATTTGTTTGCGCTTAAGGTCCACTGTGCGCTGCTCGACTCTGAATTGAATATGTTGTTGTCTTTGTGGACGTGGTGTGCTATGCTGTGCGCCAATTTTAGCCAAGAGCGTCGACAACGGCGGCATTTTGGCCAAATCGTGCCTAGTGTAGGCTCTCGTTCTCAAGGCACGAGTCATTTGAAGTTGAAGTTGAACTGGCTATAGCTAGCCTATATGGCTGTCTGGCTGGCACACAGTTTAAACTTGGGGCAACGAAGCGTCAAATCCAAGCA